ATTGCATCAAATATGACAAACATAAATTCATTTATCTCGAATCTATTAAACCTACTGACCCTATTAAATACCCATATTTCACCATTAGTAGTAGGTTTGGGTACTCCATGACCATTATAGTGAAATAAAACTCTTTCTTCTTTGGCATTTCGCCTTAAAGATGTACATAATTTTTTAACTTCCTCAACAGTTGGATCTAAACTTTGTTTGTAGCGAGCTCTTGGCTGCCATCGTTCGTATTGTTTTTGCAAATTTGAACCTATAGTTTCGAGAGCTTTTTGAGGACTCACTGACAAAGGATCTGAAAAGATATCAGTCTTGACAATTTTGCATCCAAATTATCATAGAATTCTATACATGAAGAAAAGTATGTTTGTCATAATATACATAGTTATATATCATTTAATATCAGTCATTATCCAATCCAATACATCTGTAATATTTTAATAGTTTTACAAGTACTTGGCAAAAAAGTAAAAATTATTAACTATTATATGCCTTTTATTCCATGTCTTTTACATGATAAATAGATATTAAAGCTTTTACATACTTACACTTCTATTTTATATTCTAGTATATTTCTAATATATATTATAAAAAGCTAATTGTATTATAATTGTATTGTAAATTAGTTTTAGTACATTTTAAATTACAAATAAAAAATCAAATTTCAATATTCTTCTGCAAATTAAACATTATATATCCCGATAATACTTGAATCTTTTTTATTTTCTTTCTTGTATCACTCAATACTTTTTTTTCCTTATTAGTTGTATGGATATATCAAAATTCTGAAATGTTATGTTATTTATTATTAATTTTGACAAAATAAAAAGTATCGCGTATGTCTCTGATATACCATTGGTCTAGTTAACACATCCAACAACCTGACTTATACCCTGACCTTTACTCCATCTATGAGAGGTCTCAAACAGAGCGTTTATCTCATATAGATCTATAATATTTTTGGGCCTAATGTAGATTGCATTTAGTCTCATGTGAGTGCCATCTATTGAACAAAATAAAGGTGTTCTTAGTACACTTTACACCTTTAAGCCATTCTGTCTGCATTTACATGCGTTAAAGCTAGTTAGGTCGTGCAGCCTAAGATCAGAGATCTTGAAAAAGATCTCTTACCTAAGCAAGGTTACAGCTATTTACACCGTCGCAACCTGTCATGTTTAGGTTAGATTTAGAGTATAGGTGGCAGCCTAAATGTAGGATATAAACTAGGCCTTTGTCAGGAGGCTGAATCATTTGGCATGCTTGACATGGCTAACCTCGAAATTGCAATTATGTAACAATGGGGAGGAAATAATGTAAATAAACTAGGGAGGCATCCAGTTTAGCTACCTATCCAGCATTCGAGACGAGCACATGGTTGTGTCTTGACGATATCCGGAGGATCAACGCCAACGTTCAGGCACAACACCAGAGCGACACTCACTGTCTTCATCTGAGAAAAAAACATATGCATGCAGTAATAAATTCAGTCACGCTCATGTAGGCATAATTAGCCGGTTGTGCGTTTAACCGATCGCGAAAGCATTCGGCAGTTGATACACGTACGTACCCGCTCCTTCATTCGCCAAGTCTGACTGATGCAATTGACATATTCGATCGTGGCGTTGTGTCGAGGTTTGCAGAAAGCCAACTGCATCTGCCAATCCTCTTCATCGCCGGCGCGTCTGGGCAATGTGTTATTATTCGGCGACGATGTCATGGTCAACGACGACGTTGTCGTTGTCATCATCTTCGTTGTCGTTATTGACGACGACGACATTGGCGATGTTGGCGACGACGCTTCATGGCACGACTTCATCCTAGCGTAACTGACCGACATCGCGTAATCGCGTTGCACTCAGCGAACACGTGCGAAAGACGCGTCCTCAACTGCACCGAGCCTTCTCGAATCGTACGATTCGTACGCACGATGCGCGACAACATTCGCCTGATTCACCGTGTAATTGCGACGTAAAAATACCTCAACAGAGCGTGACTAGCCCAATTTACTGAATTTACAACACAAATCGCCATATTAATATTCTCTCCATTTTCTTCCCATTTGCGGTTGCCAATTGTCGACATAAACTCTACCCTGTCTACATCAGAGGTGCGTTCCAAAACTTGATTCTATCAAGTATGTTTTATCTTTGTTGTTCATTGAATGATGGACAAGGATAAAAGATACTCGGAGTTGACAGATGGTCTGTTTTCTGTTCCTGCACTAGACTGAACTAGAACCCTCTTTCTCGCTTTCTACAAATATCAAACATATACTTATCTCACTTTAAGTTCTAAAAGTGTACATACACTAGTTCAGCCACAGAAAACAGCCCTAAAGTTTTGGAACGCACACCCTAGAATGTGCAAATTTTTATAATGCGTGGTCTACAGGCAGTAGCACTTAAGCCAGAAACACATAGAAAGGGCTATGGCACAAAACGAGACGTAACATGCGTAATCGTAACGTAAAGCCGGTTCTACATTATGAGCTTTCTACAATAAGCCATAAGTCATAAATCGGAAGTAAGAAACTAAAAATTGACAACTGTGATTGGTCCATTTCTAGCTTATGACTTATGATTTGTGACTTACAGCTTATTGTAGAAGGCCCATTATAGTTGCAAGCCGATCGCAAGTTTGTTGCGACAGCCAATCTGAAGCGTTGATTTCAAAATGCCAACTTGACATTGGCTGTCGCAACAAACTTGCGTTCGGCTTGCAACTAATGTAGAACCAGCTTAATGTAGGATTCACCCTGCGTCCGACATCCGACGTACGACGTCCGATATCCAATAGGAGAGCTTGTTTTCTTGATATATAGCTAACAATATTTTGTAACAAGCTCTGCTATTGGATATCGTACCGTCGTACGTCGGATGTCGTACGCAGGGTGAATCCTACATAATGTTCTACAATACGTCGTATATCGGCGTCAGATGTCGTGCCGTAAGAAATTAGCCAATCACAGTTAAAAACGATTGACCATGATTGGTTAATTTCTTACGGCACGACATTCGGTGCCGACATACGACGTATTGTAAAACAGGCCTAACAGAGAAAAACGTAGCTGTCGTAGTAGTGACTGGCAGCACTGGCAGTCACTACTACGACAGCTACGTTTTTCTCTGCCTTACCTTACGTTACGACTACGCATGTTAAGCCCATTCTACATTGGTCGTATCGTAGCATCGTAAGCGTCGTGAGACTTCTAATGGGCCTTCTACAATAAGCCATAAATCATAAATCGGAAGTAAGAAATTAAAAATTGACGACTGTGATTGGTCCATTTCTACCTTATGACTTATGATTTGTGACTTACGGCTTATTGTAGAAGGTCCATAATTGACACATCGAATTGGCTGTTGCAACAAATTTATGACCTGCGACGTCTACGATACGACCAATGTAGAATGGGCTTTACGTCTCGTTCTCTGCCATAGCCCAAAAACGTAAGGCCATAAGACGTATCAGTAAGGAAATCGTAACATTGGATTCGCTACCGGCCTTAAGCCCATGGCACAAAGAAAAACGTAAGGTCGTAAACGTAATCAATAAGCGAATTGATCAACCACAGTTGAGAACGTAAGCGGCGGCTGCTTTCTGTGATTGGTCAATTTCTTAGGGTGCAAACCCATGTAGCGGAATAGCGTAACGCGGAACGAGAACAGAACCAATAACGAGCATTCCGTGTTTCTAGAGAATCTCGTAATTGGTTCTACTCTCGTTCCGCTATTCCGCTGCATGGGTTTGCACCCTTAGCCCGGATCCTCATACGGACAACAGCGCTTTGACACCGGACGCTGATTGGTGAAAAACGGGTTATGGGGGTAAATTTTACCCTCGCCATCGGTTTTTCACCAATCAGCGTTTGGTGTCAAAGCGCTGTTGCCCGTATGAGGATCCGGGCTTAGGGTGCGTCCCGATGAAGAAAGAAATAACGGAACGGAATGAGAACGGAACATTGATAGAAAAGAGATAGGATTGTTGTATCTCTTTTCTATCAATGTTCCGTTACTGTTCCGTTCCGTTATTTCTAACTCCATATGACTGCACCCTTACCGCTTTACGGCTTAGGGCTTCAAAGTGAGGTTGTGGACCCAGCCTCAGCGGACTTAACAGTTGAGTGAACGCTCACTGTTATTGGTATATTCTTTTAGATCATCTAATCAGAATTTTACATCTAGAAGAATACCAATAACAGTGAGCACATACTCAATTATCGAGTCCGCTGAATACGCCCTATATATTATATTCGTTACCTGATGTGTCATCGATGGGTAGCCGGATAATCAATCAACTGTTCAAATGCCGATTTAAAAATGTTTACATTTTGTTTCGTATCAAAATAAAAAGTAATTCAATATAAAAATATATATTACAATAATATCATTACAGTAATTTTAATAAGTATTAACACAATTGCAACGAGTTTGACGTAATGCATCGATAGTATCTCGACAAATGATGACAATGCAGAAACGGCAATAGTATAACTGATAACATTTTGTTTTCTTTATTAAAGATAAGCAGATAAATATTTCTTATACCACAATATTGCGATTATTAGATACATTTCCGGAATTAATTCTTCAAACTCAGTGTCTCGTGATAAATAAATTTCATCTAAAATGATTTTATTTAAATCAAAATCTTCTGAAAAATAGACTTATTAATGAATTACAAATACAATGTATTATGTATTTAAAAAAATATGAACGCGCTTGATTTTACTCTGCTTTTCAATAAAGCCTCTTTACGGATTTCTATACACACGCGTGTACATATGCAAATGTGTACATGTATAAATGTTACAAGTTAATAAATTATGCTCTTTCTTTCTTCTTAAAAACTCACTATTTTATCGCATACGTGTAAAACATGTATGATAGCTATAATAAACAACAAATCGAAACAATAACGCATGAAATTATAAAATGGATGTTAGTTGAGATAATTCTCTTATTGCAACATTAAAAAAATATCAAATTCTCCTGTTAAGAGCAACTTTAAAATACACCATTGCATATTATATTCACAGCCTATATATACATAGTAATTTTCTCATCTATGTACAATTTCGATTTCATCATTCGATAATATGTTAAAAATTATTGTACATCATTGTCTTTCACCTCTTTCCTTTTATATAACCAGTTTATCTTTCAACCAATTTCCCACTTAGTAGCGCACAATAGCATTCGATAGATCTCTTCACTAGTAATGTTATTAAATTTTTATCGACTGACATTTTTGCATGGCTCATTATTCATTTTTCCTCACTTCTTGCAGAAACCCTTCATTCCAATGACGCCATTAAAAATATTACTTCTCATTTTCATGCATCACTGAAGTGTTTGCGGATTACTGAGTGGTTTATATCCCTATATATAATAAACAATTCACATATTAGTAACAGATCGGTATAAATTTTTTAAACAAGTAGAAAGTAAAAATAATTATTACAAAATTTCATAATGGTGTCTTTTTTGTTTTTATCAGAAAATCTAAATCTGTGATAGAGACAAACAAAAGTTAGGCATAAGAGATCAACGACAACAAAAAATGAAAAATAATCATACTGCATTTAAAAAGCAACAAAAAGATCAGATGGCGATAGAGATCACATAGCTTCGCACAGCCTGTATGTTTCAATGATTCATGCTGCCGTAATAGGGTACGTTTAGCCGCTTGCTGCCAGGTCTTACAGTGTTATTAAACGAGTCGCGTAAACGTTCTGTAAACGTTTTGTACTCCATCTCTGGATTACTTTGTCCAAAATCAAAGTCCGCGACTTCTATCGTGAATCTCGCTCTGCTTTGGATGTAATACGCCACGCCAAATACTATCAGCACCACAGCAACAACCGAGCAAGAAACTGGCACTATGATAACCGATAACTGCGGTTTTGTTGTTACTATAAGAAAGTTAAATGTGAATATTATCGTTATGTATGTATCCATAAATTATAATATTTAGAGTAGAGATATTACTCTAAAGGAATTTACCTTTATAAATGTTTATCGTTAGTGGATAAATCTGTGTATTAACTTCGTTGTTTAATATAATTAATAATGTGTAAACACTGGGCTCGAGAAAATAATGTTTAATGGAAAAATTGCATAACTGCAAATAATCTACGTTATTACAAGTTTCATTTCCTGTCACATTATACTTTCCACGGTAAAACTGGAAACACTTGGAAAATGGACCTGATCCCTTACAGGTTACATTCAAAGATAGCATGTCCCATGCTTGGATCCAATTTGTACCTTCTACTGAGATATTTGACACCGGAGCTGGAGATTTTATTAAAAAATGAAAACTTCTATAAAATAGATTAATACTAATTCAAAAGTATATATAGTTATAGATAAGAATGATTCTTCTGTAAAATATTAATTGCACATCTTACTAACCACGAACATTGATCTTCTTGTAAAAGTATCCATATGTTTTTTTAGGATCCGGTAGAATGAGAGACGTGTTTGAGCAAACGTATGGCAATGATATGTTGGCAGATTCTAACGTGCTTGTATTAATTGGAAGTGCAATTACCGTAGATTTTATCGGAGATTTTACACTCGTAACAGTCGTCGGTAATGTTACGACTGTGACAAAAGTCCTATTTAAATTTACCGTGATAGCATTGGATGCTACTGTTGTCACATTAACAGGTATGACTGTAGTTGTAGGTGCCATAGTTGTGGTCGTTGGCGAGTCGTATGAAGCGATTACTAAAGCTCCTATTTCATATGTTACACCAGGACTTGTAAAGTTATAAATGAAAGTGAAATCATTTGTTTGACCATAATACTTGCAATCAATAAACCAATACGTCAATATTACAGTTGCTTTCTGCGTTATAAAGTCGTAATCTGCCTTTTGCAAGTCTATCGTTAATTTAGTTTCATTTGTAGAGGAGATATATTCTCCCGCTATGGTTTTATTAGCTTGTTTTATGGCTATATTACCATTAAGACAATCTGAAATTAAAACAGATAATAAAATGTAACATTTTTGACAGAGAAGCAATCAGAAGAATTTCGTCAAAATCAATAAAGTTTACCAGTAATTTCAAAGTCAATATGAGCACTAGTATCAAATATCCACAAAAATGCAAAGTAATATTTGACTTCTAATTCCACTGTATAGTTTCCAGGAATGTTGCTTTCACGTGGAAAACTTATGCTCCAAAATGTTGTTGTATTCACCGTAGCTTTGCTCTAAAATGTTACAGAGTACATAAAAATGATAACATTATAATATTAAAATTAAAAAATTAATAAGTAATTCATTAAAAAAAATCATAAAATAAAATATTATTAAATATATTCAAGAATTTCTGACGTCAAAGAATAAATAAAATAGCTAAATATAACTAAAAATGGATGCATTTAGCACAAAAAGCTGCTTTGCGACTATTGTAAAATTTTTTAATATGATTGATGTTACCATTAGTTCCTCATTGATTAAATCTAAAGGTATAATTATATTAAAGACTCTTACAACAGTACGAAAGTTACTTTTTCTGCTAAGAACAGTTTTTTTTATTAAAAAAGAAAAGGAATAAAAGTACAGGGGTGCGCTTTGACAACAGTCATCCAGCGCTGCATAATACATTTCCTTGTGTTTGGTAGACTAATATAAGTAATTAAGATATCAACTCTTATTGAAATTGTATAATTCTAAACGACTGATTATCCTACAGTGTACGCGAGTTACAAAAGCCAGCTATAATTACTTATTTTCTATTAATCGAAATATGGGACGTAGAGTCCCCAAGAAATAGTTACAATCGATGGGAGCAAGGGGCGTCTTGACAGTACAACGCGCATAGGCGATGAATCTCTAGATATTATAGTTAATACTTCTAATAAAGGTGTCCAGCGCCAGAGCATTCCGCTTTCACTAATAAAAACTCTATCGGAATCGGGAGAAAGCCAGAAATCTTAGCTACCTCTTTAACGAAATTTATTCTGAAGAAAATATTGAGCACTCCCAAAAAAGGTGGTTGGGTGATTCAATGGACCCGCAGTGAATGCAGTTTAGTGACTCAACGATCGAATCTGTGTAAGCTCGCACGCAAGGACGAATAATCGCATCTTTTGGCCTACTCATGGAAGAAATCACTCTCTTGCTCACCTTCAGATCATGGAACCAGATTTTCCTTTAAATTGAGAAGTAATTATTGAAATAAAAGATTTCTTTTTATTTGGCTAGATTGTAGCCCTATTCGAAGAATTCCGCGTATAATACAGCCTTCCAGAAAACTTTAACATTTCTAAGCAGCATGCCGGTCGTGCACTTCGAGTCGGAGGTGGACGCCTCCTTGGCTGAGGTATCCGCGGCCTCATTGCCCATGATTCCACAGTAACCTGAGATCCAGATCAGTGTAATCTCTATCCTTGCTTCCTTCGCCAATCTAATTTCGTCTCTAATATATAGGGTAAGGCAGGAAAGTTCTCGACAGAGACGCTAGGTTCTTCAGCACCGATTTCGAATCTGAGAAAATCGTCACTCGGGAATGATCTAAATTCCGAACAACTCTGGCCGCTTCTAGTATTGCTAAAGCTTCCAACGTATATGAGGATGAGAATTCTGAGGTTTTACATGTAGCCGAAATATTTTCCATTACCATCACGTAATCCCCGTTATGGGAACCCAATTACTTAAATTTCCGTCAGTGAATAGGCAAAGTAATTCCTCCAGCTTATTCCTAAACCCCTTCCTGAATTCAGCGTCCCGATTCTCGGCTGACGATGCCAGTGGGAAGCCATCCGTGACGATTGGAGATCGAAACATTAAAGAAGAAAAAGGTCTTGAGAAGGCCAAAGGTGACCTCCCTGACTCGATTGTGCGTATCATAGGGAGCATCTTTCTATTGCACGAGTTGTGGGATCTCCACCTTGGAGTCTCTACGTATGGGGTCCACCATAAGTCATTCAATTTCGCAAGAATACGAGGGAGAGGGTGATTCGACTGGAAGGTCCTCGCGATATAACATCTGCACAAAAATTTGTATCTGAGGGTCTGCGGTGATTCTTTGTTTTCACCCAGTACGCAGTTTATTAGAGTGGAGGTTCAGAGACCCAAGATGATCCTCATGGCTTTGTGGATTCGATTAAGTTTCGAAATTTGAAAGCGTTTCAGTTTATTGAAGACAACGCATCCTCGAGCGAATCAGTGCGTTAAAAATTAGTTTGAGGATCAGCGCACCACATATGGCTCAAACAGCTGAGAATCTTCATTGCGCCTTCGCATCTTTTTAATGTGTGGTTACTTGATCCTCCCAGTTCAAGTTATAGCGCATTCTCAGGCCAAGGAAAGTGACCTTCTGAGAGTTTTCAATTCTAGTACCGTCGATAGTAACGTACAACGAGGGGTGTTTACGAAAGAAGTCTCTTGTTGTTAAAAACGCACAGACTGGTTTTAGGAAGGAACAAATCCAGTCCCAGTTCTATGAATATTCTAGACATGAAGCGTAAGGCATTTTCGATCTTAAAAAAGTCCTCCTTCAGAGAGAAGGAGTTGACGAACAAAACTACGTCATCTGCGTACTAGAGGATAGATATCCACATTTAGCTACGGCATCAATTTCTGACACATAAATTGAATAGAGAAAAGGATTTAAGACGCAGCCCTGTGGCAGATCCCTGAATGACGGAATTCATTGATTTCCCCGAATTTGCAAGTCACCTGTCTGGAAGAAATCAGATAAATTGACGCTAGAATATTAAGGGGAATTCCTAATGTAATCAACTTTTTCATGAGTATATCACAGAGAACGTTGTCGTAAACAGATCTGATACCTAGAAAAACCATCAAGGAGAGAAACCCTTTCTGAAGTCGGTGAGAATCTCAAGTGGAAAAGTTATCTAAGCATGATCTATCCTTCCAAAAGCTATACCGTGATGTCGAAAGGTTGTTAAATTCCAACCACCAGTTGAGTCGGAAGCAAATAATTTTTTCCATGACCTTATATAGACACGAGGCCAAAAAGATTGGTCGTAATTTATCGGTTCCTTCCTTAGGAGAAACAGTAGAAACTTCTTCAACTCTGCAGGAGAGAATCTTGACATAAAGATCATATTATACATCCTCAGAAAGGTCTCCCTCCCAAGAGAGGAGAGATGGAAAATTATCTTATAATCTATAAGGTATCAAGGCCTGGAGGTCAACGATGGCCACGTCCAGTTCAGTATGAGAAAAGGGGAGAACACAGTTAATTTTAAGTAACAATTTATACTGTGATATAACTAATGAAATATTTGTAACCTCATATTTATGTTTCATTAATGAATTATCGTTCCATATGTAATTGAAAGTCCCGTTTGGTCGGTTGCCATCACGGTACAAATCTGCTCTAAAAGTGATCATCCCACCTAATACAACCGGTCCGTTGTGTGACAATTGAACATAATCCTTGGCAATAACTGAAAATAATAGAAAACACTTGATTAAAAACGGTGATGCAATATCAACTATTAGGCTAGAATCAGACTATGCATTGGAAATTGAGATTGCATATTGGAGATTGGACTTTGACCATCAGAGCAAAGAAAGCGAAGATTAAAATTACAGATTGAAATTAGAGCTAGGTTTTTTTTCCTAATCTTCAATCTCAATAATAGCAAATGGCTTGACAATTTTTTCATCATGTGATGGACATTTGATATTTTTTCTACAGAAGCAAAAGGTTGACGGCAGTGCATGTTGCAAAGGAGGTGAAGAAGGTGTGTGTGTTGTGAAAAAGGTTTTAAAAGCAATTCTGTAAAAAGATTATGATGCATCATGCTTCTCCAGTTCCTCTTTAAAAAAATATTGATTTGTTCATATACGACGATTGTTTCAATGAGTTTTCTCTTCAGATTATTAAAAGTAAAAGAGCAGCAATTTTCTTCTTTTTATTTGCATGTGTTACACGCGTATTATACACAGCATTACTTAAATTTAATTGCGTCTCAATTTGCCCTAATTAATCGAAATTTAGGTTAAATAGCTCAATATGTATCTTCAAATAACGGACCTAACAGCCATATTATCAATCACAATACAAATCACTATCATAAAATGTGATTGCACAATCTTTAATCTTTAATCAATAATCTAAATCTTCAATTCGTAGTTTGATTCCGGCTTTACAATTAACATGTATAAATAGAAACAAAAACAGAGCAGCGTAACAAATACAGAGAATAAAAAACATATTAACATGTAACAATAATAACGCGAAATGACATGGGAAACGTGTATGTATGTACAAGCGTAATTAGGCGTAATCAAGAATGTCATAATCACCTTGTAGGAAACACCAAACACTCCAAAGAAGATGGCGATAAAAATGAGCCGTTTGCATTCTGTATATTATTATTATTATTATCGGAGCGCGTCACATTCGCGAGCGCTTTTAAATTACTTTGATATTCCTCTTGAAAATGATAGCTGTCCGATGATTTCTTACTGATTTGTGTTTACTGATATCGCCATTTTACCACATTTTCATGTTTCATCAACGATGTCATACATGTCAAAGACCAAGCGCTGCCAATCTCCATTGAGGGCCTACATAAAATATTCTCGCATTGATGGTAATGGTGGTACATACATACACCGGAAAATTACTATAGAGATCAACCGATGCAAATGGGTGGGCACTGCACTGACAAGTGCAACTACGCTGCTCCCTCCTTCATCAACAGATAGAATCTAATCTTCCGAATTGTGATTTTTTATCCAAAGTGGATAAGTAAATGCAAGCACATACAGTATAATATATATACTGCGTATAAATGTGGTTTTACTTACAAAGCGAAATTTTCCTACGGAAAAAGAAATCTGGCAAGTCATATCAACTGATGCATGTTTTGATACTGTTCGATACGTGACACCTGTTGAAAATCAAGTATCTGCCCAGTTTATTTCGCTCTAATTGATTACAATATGTTAAGAAAGCTTTCCTTCGAGCTTCTACCGATTATTTGTCGCTGCAGACTCGCGAACACATTGAAACGCAATGTTATACGTGAATATAATGGAATGTCATCCTCCGTTGTACGTGCCGTAGCAAACAGCACGTTACACGTGGACGAGCAACTACAGGAAATTTTTAAATTTAAGGACACCAAGATCAGCAATTGGATCATAGAGGTTACAAGTTGTATTTTTCGAATGCAATATAAAGCGCAATTTCTTTTTTTTCTCGCAGAAATTGTATATCGGAAAATATTTGCAGAACAAGGCACGTGCACTGTGCGTCAGCTATACTGAAAGCAATAAAGATGACCGACAGTGGATTTTACGCATATTAGCTTTGCGATATTCTGTACAGCACGATGATATATGCCAAGTGGCCAAAAGATTGGTCTGCACTGAGGTACACTGTTTTATGTGAGTTATATGTGGTGCTTTAATCAAATTGTATCATATGTATGTATATTCCAAATATAATAACTTATTTTGATATTTTGGTCACCACTGTTATCGGAAATACGTATGTATTAAATATGTTTCATTTGTACAAAGTATCTGTAGCCTAGAACCTTCTATCGTAGCCTGAAAATGAACGACAAATGATTGTCCATGAGAGAACATTGAGGAATGTTCTCACACCCGCTTATCATTGGTTATTTGTTATTATTGGAAGATTACAGCATGGCGTAAAATTTTTGGTTGATCTAAGAACTGATGTTCTGGTAAGCAAAAAAGGAATTTTTGTTTATGGATGCAGTGCATTGTGATATAATTTACAGGCATCAGATTAAATTATTATATCTATCTGATTATGTTATATTATTTTTACTTTTCTTAGGAACTAATGTCAAAAGTGAAAGATGCAGATGAAAGTATAATAGTACAGCAACTAAATCATACTTTGCGAGAGTTACTTTTACTCTGGTTTTCCGTGGGTTTCTTACATGTGGAACGAATAACTTGGGAAAGTGCATGTGATATATTGCAGAAAGTAATTACAGTTCTGATATTTTATTTTCATAATGTCTATTTTCAATTTTTACATTTCTAACTGATTTCTCCTGTTTATTCTTTTTGTAAATTTAAAGGTCTCTGATTACGAAGCTATCCATCCTATGAGAAATTGGTTGGATTTGAAACGCAGGGTTGGGCCATATAGAAGATGTTACATATTTATGCATCCATCCATGCCAAGAGAACCTATTGTTGTATTGCATACAGCATTATGTGATATTATACCAGGTTTAAATACAAAAAAAAATTTCCTGAATAAAATTTGTTTCGCGTATGTAGGAAAGAAACATTAGTAAATTTTTTAAATATTTCTCTATTACTATATTACAGATAGTGTAAAAGGTATCGAAGAAGCTGAAACTAGAATTTTGGGCAGTGCAAAAAAATATATAACTTTTTTAGAGGAAGACAAATCAAAAATAAAAGCAGCAATATTTTATTCTATAGCATCTACTCAGAAAGGATTGCAGGTAGTTGATTTATGAAAATTTTAATTATACTTTCCAAGAACTTAAATTATATTACAATTCTGCGATGTAAAAAGTACATGTGGCTATAAAAGGATATTTTTACATAGGGGATTGAACTCGGTAATTATTTGATAAAGAAAGTAGCCAACGAGATCACAACTGAATTTCCAGCTATACGACAATTATCTAGCTTATCACCGATACCCAATTTTAAGACTTGGTTATTTGATAAATTGAAACAAGGTAACTGCAAACTAATGAAAAATAATAAATTATATATAAATGTACAATATATATTTGTTCCATAGATATGGCGTTCGTACTTACCACACAAGAATATCAAATTGCAAAAGATATTTTACAAACAGAAAACTTGATATCAACCTTAAAAAAAATCCTGGACACATCGTTATGGACAGGGGACAAGCAACTGTCAGAATTTTTAAAAAAACCACTACTTCGAGCATGCGCATGGTACTTGTATAAAGAAAAAAGACGTGGCTATGCTTTAAATGCAGTCGGTATGTTCCACTTGCTTTTTTTCTTCCATAATTAATTTGTAAATGTAGAGGTATTTTTAAAAAGCGAGATAAGCATTATACAAAATTTCTTCTGCACATTTTGTATATTGTTTTATGCAGCTAATTTTCATTTACGCAACGGAGCTGTGATGTGGCGAATAAATTGGATGGGTGATCCTTCACCACGCGGAATAGCAAATAGTTGCGGCATAATGGTTAACTATAGGTATATATATGAAAAAATTAACTCAGCGCGCGCGCGCGCGCACACACTGAGTCGAGTTTTGTGTATGATTGTATATATGTACACACAATTTCTTTTCTGCACAGATATTTTTTGGAAGATTCTGAAAAAAACAGTCAGAATTACATTGAACATTTTACTATAAATGCTACAGAAGATATAATTAAACTCGCGACGCAAGCAGAAAAATTAAGAAATCCATTATAATATAATTGTGAAAGAATGTAAAGGCATGAGAATGTATTAAATATCGCAACTATAGAAGGAAGAGAATTATTATGGTAAGAGATAATTAATAATCGATAATTATGACCAATAGCGAAGCAAAGAGGTATCTAATTTAATGATTCAAAAATTCCTTTTATTACTCTTCAAATTTTATGTTTTTATTAAAGATTATTAAATTTGTTCATTTATACAATAGCTGATTCGTTTCCAGCTTAAAGACAGCACAATAGTCTGCAGACAAGTCTAGAACAGATAATAAAATCTCTGTTATAATTAAAATTATTTCTATTGCTTTTTCTTACAGAATAATCGCAGAGAAGAACACAAAAACAATCAGAAAATTATATTATGGAACGATATTGAAAACACTGACTTTTTTCTATTCGTTTTTTTTTTTTACATAAATCAAGTACATGCATGTGTGTATGTTATGTGATATGTACGTAAAAGAAAAAGGAAATAAAATACACACCTGTAGTCAAGGCTGAGTTTGGTGAAAGTTCGAAGGAAGATGAGGTCTACTTTCTAGTTTTGCATAATCCAAATGGAATTCCTTAGCTACCTTTCTCCAGTTTTGCGCATCAAAATAGTAATAAGTACCACGTTCATATGTCGACGTCTTTTCTACAATTCCCAAACCTGGTGCCTGCGTTATCCAAACTTTTTCCTCCATATGATATCGCCACTCTCTGCTGTATCTTCATATATCACATACAAAAAATTATTTAAGCATCGTACGTACGCGCTAGTATTTCCATGTATAAAAATTAATTTTGTTTTTCCTTACAGTTCCGCCGCAGCAGCTAATTGCAATACATCCCCAACATTTGTATAAAACATATAAAATAGTAGATCATCTTTATATCGATTTAATTTAACTGGCGCTAGTTTATCCCTATAAAGTAAATATAAAAAATATAATTTTGTTCAGATAATTTTTGTACAATAATAGAAAATATTTTACAAATAAAATATAATTCTATATAATAATCTGGAGACACAGTAATGTCTCGGCGCTAAGTCAATAACAATTATTCCATTTCAAAAAATTCCAAAAATATTCATTTTAATATATTTTTTTAAATATAATACAAAATAATTTCCATTTAATATTTACCAAATCCATATCAAAGCAACTCAAATATTGCACAAGCATGTAGTTTATAAATATTTGTAGTTTGTATTATACAGATATAGCTTTATAAATTAAATAATCAAATGGAAAATCAATACCTGATTGCGGCATTTATAAGATATTCCGGTGGTACGTGAAAATCTATATCCTGCGGTCGACATGGAGTTTCCGCCCAGGGACCACCAAAATTCTGGTAGAGATTTTCTGGTGAATTCAAATTCAATCCTAATGCAGTAAGATCTTGACCCAACGCCAGCGACACCAAGTTCGGATCTGTCTCCGCCGCTCTGATAAACGTCAAAAGCCCAACCATGCCGAATTGATCCTTCACCATGCTTGCAGGTATATTCGTCACCTTACCTATGCAACAATTATGTTGAGAATTAAACTTTGCTAAAACTCAACCATCTAATATAGATTTTGATTTACCATCGGGTGATGTTTGGATGCCCCTTTTAGAAGACTGAGATTTCTCAGATCCAGGTGCTCTGTTAGCCTGTAGCACATCTTGTCCAATTTCTGGACCAAGTCCTACAGGAATATTTTTATCACCAGACATGCTGCCACCAGGTGACGGACCTTCTCGATTTTGGGTTCCTGGTAATGCAGGAAAATCCTCCGAGCTCATTGTAAATTCGCTCGATTCGGATGTTGGCTGTTTTACCATTCCAACTGTAACATAACAAATGAAAATTTCATCAATAAAATAATTTTAGTATGGTAAACTATATATTAAATATTTAGAAAAGCCTGAAACCTTAAATACACACATATGTACAGATTGCATTATAGTATTTTGCAATTTTATAATACTTTAAAAGTATGGTTGCTTGTTTTATTTTTAAATAAATTACAAATAAATTTACAAAATTATGTAGAAAGCTTTCCAATCAAGAAAAGGATTTGAAACAAATGTGGTACATTACGATTATTGAATGTTGTGTATATTATAAAAGTC